GCCCGTGCTCCTCCTGTGGGCTGTGGGAGGCCGTGTGGCAGTGTCTGGGCACCCCCTGTCACAGGGCACAGCCTGCCTTTCCCACCTTCCCCAGGGCCCTGTGTCCACTGTGCTGCTAGCCAGGCATTGTGCAATGAGTGCTGCATAAGCTCACAGCTGGGCTCCCCAGGGGTTTTGGTGTGCTTTGCAGTAACATTGTGCCCTACTTTGTGGATATGGGCTTGCAGGCTCTGCTGACCATCTCCTGAGCAGCTTTCTTTACCAGTGGCAATTGTTAAATTTAATCTGTGGTTAGCAGGACTCAGAAAAGCTAAGATCCTTGGAAACAGACTGAAGTTGGGGTCTTGTGCTCCTCTATGTCATTTATGTCTCAGTGCAAGGTCCTTGCTTTGGTCTGTGTGGCTGGGCCTGAAGTGTGTGCTGGCAGAAATAGAGAGGGCAGAACCTGTTTTGAAAGATACCCTGAGCCTCCAATGTTGAGGTGCTCATGGCTGGCAAATCTGAGTGCTTTGGACTTCAGCATGAGACCAGAACAAGAACTTAAAAGTGCTTATATTGTGTAGCAGTATGTATTTCTGTTTCAGAGACTGCTCTCCCTTATCAGTATTTTAGCACTTGGGATACTCTGTTTAACTTCTTGTGGCTGACAGATTAAATGAAAGGGCATCCTGACCTTGAGAAAAGCATGATTTCCAGGTTCTACCTGTGTTCACAGTACAGGGAAGAAGTCTGTAGCTGAAAGTGGTTCCTGAAGTGCAAGGGCCTGGTGCACTGTCAGGGGAAGCCTATTACAGTGGGGTTTCTAACTGAGAGCTGGAGTTACCTGTACAGCTCCCTGGAGAGTTTCCCCTGTATGTTCCCCCCCTTTGTTTCTCTTTCTAGGGCTCCAGCTTTGGTTGGGAAAGGCTTTATTAGGTGTTTCTGCAGGTAATTGGGGCATTTTAATTTCTACAGCTGAAGTTTCCATTCCAATTCTTAGAAACACAAAATCACATCTCTTGATTAGAAAGGCATCAAGACTGTGAAGCAGCTGCTTTATCTGGTGATGTTGTTAAAATGTAGTCAACACCACTTGGCTACTTGGATGTGACCAGCTTTTTGGTATAAAGACAAGCTAGTTTGTGCTGCCCCTGCTGTTCTACAGCAGAAGGAAGGAAGAAAAGCAGGATGAAAGGGTGATGTTGCAAAACCAACTGCTGGTGTGCTTCTGATTGCACTGTTCCTGGATATGAAATCAAACTCTTGCTTTTCTCTTCTCCTCGCTTTGGGCTGCACAGTGAAGTACTCAGGGTACCTGGAACACTGGGACAAGCCCTTCTGTACAAACTGCTACAGCAAGTCTTCTGGGCTGATGAAACTTGGAAAAGGTAAGGTTTGAGCTGAAAAGTTTGTCCTGGGACTCAGGGTTGTAAAGACCAGACCATTAAGACATGTCAATTTAAACACTGTTTAGTATCTTTAGGTTATTTGAAACCTTTAAAACTTGTTAATGGAATACAGAAGCCTCCTGTCTCACACAGGTCACAGTCAACCTGGAGCAGCTCACCCTCTGCCCCTCTTGACTGTAGGAGTGAGCAGCAGTGTCTGTTCGGTTTATAGTAGTGGGGGTGCTTGCCACCTGCCCTGAAGCAGCTGCTTGTCTTGGTGTTTTAATTTAAATCACCTGAGAGGAGATGTTGCTGTTTACTGTGTGCTTGGTCCCACAGCAGACTGCCTTGATAAGCCATTACAGGGGGCAGCTGACCATTGTAGTTGCTGAGGTATGAGCCATCAAGGATTTTTTTTCTCCAGGCTGTAGGAGAAATTGTTGTTTGGAGTCTGAGGGGGTTTCCAGGTTTGCAATTCTCATGACCTTCCATTTCTTGTTGTGACAGACATTACACTGGGGGGCCTGGAAATTGGTCTGCTGACAATGAAGAAAGGGGAGGTGGCAAGATTTGTCTTCACACCAGATTATGCCTATGGGCGGCAGGGCTGTCCTCCTCTGATTCCCCCAAATGCCACAGTCATGTTTGAAGTGGAGGTGCTGGACTTCCTAGACTCGGATGAATCTGACACATTCTTTGAGTTGACTGCTGTGAGTTGCCTTAATAAGGTTTGAGACCTAAATCTGGAGGCTAAACCTTTGTTCTCTTTCTTTCCAGTTGCTGTTGCTCATGTACGACATATTTTTAGCTTAATTGCAGGTGCAGTTATCCAGACCCTGGGCTGCTAGCTCCACTTGCGTGCAGACACATGCCCTCTAATGCTGCCCCTGCACGCCTTGCTCTGTTTGCACTCCTGTGCAGAGGGAGAAGCTGGGTGCTGCCTTTGTTTGCTCCTGTGTTCTGGAGTCAGTGGAATGACTTCCACGTATTTTTAGCTTTACAAGAAACCTCATGGTTTCGCTAGAGGGCACCAGCTTCCAGGAATTTCTCTGAAGGAGCAGTAATGAGCTGTCTGTAAAAATCCTGTTCAGTCTGCAGTGTTCAAGTGCCACCCCCACAGCTCCTATCCTTTTTCTCTGCTTCTTGGCTGCTCTCCCAAGTGCTCCTTCACTGTTTGCTTTCCTCCCTAGTGAGTTACGGTGTTATTGTTAATTCCCCCTTTTTATGCAAAGGGCTTTGGGCTGTGGTTGTGGGTCAGTGAGTGGGGCACAGGCAGCAGCACTGGTGGGGGAGGCCCTCCTCATTCCCTCCTGCTGCTGCACAGGCCACTTTGTCCACACATAGCTCTGTGAGCAAACAGCACTTGTTGCAAAAGAGCTTACTCCCCTTCTTTCCAGTTGCCCACCCTGCTAACCGACCTCTCTCTGTGAGCTGGTTCAAATCTGGAAACCCAGGAGAAAACCTGTCCCTTGATTTTTATCTTTATTATTGTTGGGGTTGGTTTTTTTGTTTTGCTGGGTTGATGTATTGTTGTGGGTGTCAGGCTGGTCCTAGAGCTGGCATGAGGCAGTCATCCTGGGTGATGCTGAGCCATTAGAGCAATGGAGCCTTTCAATCAGATTCACCTTTTGTGCCAGCAATAGCATTTGCATTAACTGTCTACTCTGTGCTAAGCAAGTGAGAGAGTTAGGCAGGATTTAAGAACAAATTCCTGCTTTTTTCCTTCCCCTCCCTGGAGTCCCTTTGGTCCTGGTGACCATCCTGACCTGGTTGGTAGCACTCCTCAGCAGGAGTTATCAGCACAAGAACAGTGGAGTGTTTCAGCCTCATGAAGTGAAATGCCACATGGTGGTGGCCTGGCTGGACACTGCAGGGGCCTTGGCAATGGCCTGGCTCCTGCTCTGTGAATAGAAGGGGACTGTGCAGGACTCTCCTGTCTGAGCTTTCTGCTTGTCTTCTTTTGTTTGAGCTGAAATTCAGGTATTTCTTTATACAGGAGCAGCAGGATACATTTCCGCTACAAAAGGTGTTGAAAGTGGCAGACACAGAGAGAGAGTTTGGCAACTACCTCTACCGTAAGCGGCACTTTGAGGGTGCCAAAGAGAGATACAAAAGGGTATGATACCAGAAAAAAAAAAAGCGTTTTCCATTGTGAAAAGCTGTGAAAGCAGTGATTACTAAGTGCTAGCTCACCATAACAAGTACAATTTAGAGGTCAAATAACTTCATTATACTCTTCAGGCATAGTTTGTTGTTTAAGAACAGATCTTAGACACCTGCTTTTGTGTGAGCAGCGGTGGTAAACGAAGGAGGAGAAAGGTTGGCAGAAATAGGCAAACCCTTTTCCTTCAGGCTAGCTCCCTGTGGGCTCTAGCCGAGACAGAAGAGTACATCTCAGCAGCTGCGTGAGCCCTGAGCGGTTTGCGTGGCTGACTGCTGAACTGGAGCCTTTCAGTTCAGCTTCTACTGGGAGACATTATAAGGCAGCATAGCCTTGTATTGCAGCAGCATGCTGATTAATGCTTGGAGAAGGAAACTAGATTCCCTTTGCTCTGGAAATGGATATCACTGGCACACTGGGCATTCTAACTTTATTTTTAGCCTTCCAGTTGGGAATCACGCAATAGCTGAGGTTGGTAGGAACCTCTAGAGGTTGTCTAGTCGAGACCTCTGCTGAAGGAAGGTCAGCCACAGCAGGAGGTTGCCCAGGACTGTGTCCATTCAAGTTTTGAACATCTCCAAGGATGGAGACTCCACAACCTCTCCAGGCAGGGAAATAACCTCTCCGTTATTCCCAAACTGGAAGGCATCTGCCTTTGTTTCAGAGGTAGTGAGGTTTTGTGAGATTTTTCTTCCCTCCATTCAGAGTTGCTTTTTCTTGGTATTTTTGTAACAAAAATAATTTAAATTGCTTTTCTCCCTGTAAGATTTCTCTTCCATCTTTGTCCTTAAAATCTGAGTCCTGGGTGTAAGGCTTTTTTTTATTCTGCTGCTTTCAAGTTCCTTGATAGGTTCCTAAACCTGTAGTCTTATGGCTATGACTAGCTAGCTAGTCATGCTGTTAATGCCATGCAGTATATTTAGAGTTTTGATTATTATTATTTTTAACTGACTTAGCTAAACAGAAATACTGCACAGGGTGTAGCTGTCTGAGATGGATTTCTTGCCTTCCATAACAGACTTGTGCACTAGTTCTTTTTCCCTGTCTGCTCAGGCGTTCTCCATCCTTGGTCGCAGCCCTTCCAGTGAGGCAGAGCAGTGTCAGATCAATGCTTCCAAGTTGCTGGTGCTCCTGAATCTCTCGCTTACTTACCTGAAACTGGAACGTCCTGCCCAAGCTTTGTTATATGGGGAGAAGGCCTTGGAGATTGACCAAAGAAACACCAAAGCGCTGTTCAGGTGTGGCCAGGTGGGCAAAAATAAATTCCTCTGGTAGCCACATCATGGAATACCCCAGTCTGACTGGTTGTGGAGAAAGGCTCTAATGAACCAAGGAGAACCACTTCTGGGCCAGGCCTACTAAGCTGCTGTAGCAGTCAAGGTGGTTTGTCTGCATCTGACGTTTTGGAAAATCTGGTTCTCTGTAAATCTGTCACACAGATCTTTTCATGGGGGATTCCTGAGCTACCTGGCTCTATCTCAGAAATATTTGTGGCTGCACATGTTTCAGTCCTGAAGAATGGCAGTGAGTCTATATTTATCTTGCAATGCATCTGTCTTCTTTCATTGGCAGGCTTGTCTCTGCATGACAGAATACGAAAAAGCACGGGATTTCCTGGTCAGAGCTCAGCATATACAGCCGTTTAACCATGATATTAATAATGAGCTGAAAAAGTTGGCAAGGTGAGAGAACTGCTTTCCGTCCCTGTGGAAGAGAGAGTGTTTAGACAGGCTGGAACACCCACTCAAATATTTAAAATGTTTAAAACAAACCCAAAACATAAAATTATTGGGTTAGTAAGTGACTTGGGAAAATGCAGAAGATTTCTCTTAGTGTGGAGACAGCTGATTCGAACATTTTGCAGACAGTGGTTACAGGTGATAGGTGAGAAGCTGAGAGCACCCACTCTTTTTGTACAGTTTCTCTGGGGGGATGTGTGTGTTACGCCCCTTGTGAGTAGGTAGGTCAGGGTGATGACAGGGAGACAGGCTGCTGAAATGCCTCAAAACCAATGAAATGCAGTAGGCTAGCACTCAGGCTGATAATGTTCTGGATTAATAAGTATGATTTTCATTCCCTTTAAGATGGTGTTGGTTAATTACAGCAGCTCTTCTGTACTGCAGGTGCTTCAGTGTACAATGGTACAAATACTGATGTTTGTTAAAAGTGTTTTTCTTGCTGTCTTGGAAGTAATGAGTGAGCAATCCTGAAGACAAACTTTCCCTTTGCCCACAGGCTGAGTACAGCACAATCCTGCCAGCTTTAGTCATGCCCTGGCCCCACCAAAATATGACTAATGCTAGTCTTTGCTCTCATTCTGTTCTTCCCTTTGAAACTGGCAAAAGCGCTAGCTGGTTCCCAAAAGTGTGTGCTGTACTTCTGGCACTGTTCACAGACACAGATGGCGATGCAGTCCCCAGCTTCAGAGATTACAAAGCAGCCCTTGAATACGAAGCCTCTTCTTTTGTGTGTCACTGCTAGGCATTTGCAAAAAGGTTTGTAGGCAGCAGTAACATCTCTTATTAGAGTAGTTGGTGCGGCTGGAAAAGCCAGTCTCGTGGGCTGAGTGCCTTTACGAGGTAATGTTTTGGTAGAGAGCTGTCCCTGCACATCGGTGTCCTACCAACACCACCTTTAATAGTCTGTGATAACACCAAGTCTTCAAACTCGTTCTGTTACTTCTGAAGTACAAAGAACTTGAAGGCTGCTGGTCTGGAAATCTGAAATAAACTCCTTCTATTCATCCTGATCTGCCTCTGGGTATGTAGCTACCAAATTACTAGGTGAGCGCAAGTAGTTGTAAAGTAGATCTGGATGGCTGGCTAGCTGCTCCTGGGGGCTTGGTGTGTGGGTAGTCCCAAAGACCTGTGGTACAGTGCTAGAAGTCCTGATTCTAGAAGCCTCATGTGTTCCCTTAGACTTGTTTGAAATATGTTGGCAGGTAAGAGAAATATTGCTAATAATGTTGAGGTTGTGCTGCCAGGAAGCAACAAGGCATTCTGCCTTCAGGGAAGCAGTAGGCAGGCTTGTCGGCTCTGACTCTGGAGATAGCAGCACGTACAGCTAATGCTTGTGTCAGTAAGCTGAGTATGCATGAAACCACTGTTGTCTTGGAGTTTCTGCTTCAGTGCCAGTTAAAATTGGTGTATTTTTTGCTTTTACTATGACAAAGAGTGGAATTAGTATAAAATGGATGAAGACAATGTTATAAGGTGTTGTTAATTATGCCACACCTCAGTCTAGATCCTGTAATGTTGCCAAACTGCCTTGCCTGAGAAAACTTGTAACGTGATCTGGCAAATGCTTCAGAAATGAAATATGAATCAAGATCTTGTTCTTAGAGGCTTTTCACTTCCTTACTGAGTACATTTATACTTTGCAAAAAGGAATGTTATCTGTTAATCAACAGCTACCTTTTGCTGTCCAAAACAAAACTTTGAAAAGTGTATGTTTAACAGCTGAACCAGGTTCTTGGCAACATTTGCTTCACTGGAGAAAAACAGGCAGAATCCAGGGTGAGGGTTTTGTGGAACTCATGACTAGTACCAGCTGTAGTGGTCTTGTTGGTGCAAATTCTGCTGCTGGATTTGGCAGTTCTATTGAAAGGCTCGCATTGCATTAAATCCGGAACAAAATGGAGTTGTTCCCATATCTGTCATGAAACTGCACCTCCAAATGAGGGGCTCTTGGATTTCCTGCTGTGGTAGGCGTGTGAGCATGCCATTTACACTCTAGGTGGGCATCCTTGAACTACTCAGTGTGGCCAGTTGTGGTAACATCTGTCTGAGACTTAACAGAAGAGACTTGCTGTGCTGGGATTTCACTGAACAAAACACTTTGAGGTTCTGGACCCAGGGGTGCTGATGGTGGGGTGCTGAGAAAGCATTAGACAGTGTCACACTTGTGCTGTTTCTGGTGTGTTGCAACAAAAATTTGCTTTTGACCTTATACGGTAGCAGATGCAGGAAAGCTGACTGTGTGGGCAGCCATTGATCACTGGAATGGTACCCAAAATGAGTCACCTTCTGGCTCAGGGATTCCTCACCAGTCAGACCTTATTGCCAGTGAGGTGAGAGCACAGGGCGCAGAGGACACTGTGCTTGAAGAAGCAGCGATTAAAATGGAGCAGTCTGGGAAGATTTTGTCATGCTAATGTGATGCTGGCAGGGAAGTGAGAATGGAGGAGGAAGCATCTGCCCTGTCAGTCATTTAGTCTGGACACAAATCTCTGCTATCTTCTACCCATCCTCTGCCCAGATTCAGTGTCGATGGTAGATATCCTGGAGTGGGGCACTTGGACGATGTCTCCTGCTAGGTGCTGAAGGAGTTCACACAAGGAGCGGTACAAATGAGGAGACACAAAACTAGACCACAGGATACAGGTGGAGGTTCCTCTGCCTTGTCATATGCTTCCAAAACTGGTTGAGAAAGCATCTGGCTACCAAAAGTCAAATGATCTACTTAGCTAATTGTCACCAGTGAAGCAGAGACCCAAGGTCTGGGGATGAGGCACAATGTTTCCAGCTCTCCTTCCCTGACATGGCAGAAAGAAGGGCTTGGAGGAGCTGCATCTTTGCTACCAGCACACTCTTACATTAGGCTAATTCGTTTGTATAGAGAACATATATTTTCTGTTTGTGGCACTGATGGTGGTTGGTGGTTGGTCCACAGCCCGTGATGCCATGCTGTGCTCTACTTTGCAGCTGCTACAAGGACTACATGGAAAAGGAGAAAGAAACGTGCTGCCGAATGTTTGCCTCTCTCAACTCTTCCTCTGGCTACCGGAAATAAAGGTAATCAAGTTGTGAAAAGGACTGAGGTCTCCTAAAACTTCTGTTGTGTCTGAACTGTTTTCAGGTGGGGAATCTTCTCTTCTGCATGGGAGGATTTTGGAGGCAAAATGTAAGGTAACAGGAGAATGTGGAGTGGAAGGGGCAGGATGGTGGGGTAAAATGCTGCTACATCGTTGGCTTGGGGAATCTTTACTGTGAGTCAAGCTGGCATGGGACAAGAACCTGAAACTAGCAGCACTTCAGAAAGCTTGGTTTTGTTTCCTGTGCTGCTCATCCCAGCTTGTCAGGGCCAGGGGGAGAAACAGCTGTGTAGTCTTGTTTCCCTGCCAATTAAAAGAAACAAAAAAGAATTGTTCCTGTCAAACTTAAGAATTGGATTTCCTCCTCCCCTCCAGCACTCCTGTCTGGAGCTGTTGGAATGCCTCACTTCAGAAAAATCTAAATATTTTATTTCTGTTTTTTTAAATATTAAAAACCTGTTTGTATAGAAAATTTCAAATAGATGTTTTGGACTCTTTAAAGCCTTAAATCTTCTAGCAAAATTGACAGGTTTATAAATGCACAAAGGCTCTTTGATAATTTTTTTTTGTCAAAACCTTCGGGGGGGGGAGGTGTAAGGGCGAGTGGAAATCTTCACTGGTCTCTTGCTTTTTTTTTGGAAAGAGTTGTGGAAAATGACAGCAGCCTTCTGTCAGAAAACATCACCAGCTTAGGGCCGTCAGAGTTTGCTGCCATTCTCTCTCATGCAATACAGGCAGTACCTCCTCTACATGTAGAAAATGAGTATTGGCAGCCTTTCCATCAGTAGCAGTGCGAGTGTAGGGTGCAGGTCTGATATTTTAAGGTTGGCTTTTTTTGTCTGTGCTTGTGAGGAAGCTAAGGTAGTATTTGAGTAAGAGGTTTGATTGAACAGCTGCTTCCTAAAGCAACACAACCCTCTTCTGGCTGGACGTGCCTCCCTGCTGTAGTCTTCATCCCTCCTGCCACCCCTGTGCCCCTGTGTGAGCTGGGCATGTTGCTAAACTGCCTCAGAGCACAAATTCTTCTGCCCTGGGTTCAGGATGAGACTGATAACATCTGTTAGCAGGTACCTACCCCCAGGCAAGTAGCTGTGAAAGGGGATTTAAGACTGATGAGTGGTCTTGCCAGCCTGTGCAGGAAGTCCATGGTTCTGGACTTGGCTCTGATTCTCCACTTGCTGAATTCCAGAGACTTGCAGTTTGGAAGCTGGTAGGACTTGGGTCTTGTGTCTGATGGTAGTATGTAGCAGTGCCTGACCTGGGAAAGCTTCTTGTGTTGATCTGTGCATCAGCTGGCCCTGCTTTGTGGTGAGAACTCTGAATGAATGTGGTGATCTGCTGGGTCACCTCAACTGGTAAGGTTGTGTGGCCTCTTTTTTTCCCAAAAAGCAGCTTGCAAAGATGTTGATTTTTCACACGGTTAGTGTAGTGGCACATAGCTGTTGTTTTAAGTAGAACAGTGTCTTCAGTTAGCGGAGACCAAGATGTGCAAAGGGGAAGGGAAAAAGAGAAACCTCTACTGGCAGCAAACTTAAAGATTGGGCTGAACTGTTTTTCCACTTACTCCTACTGATGTACATGTACAGTGCTTTCCTGAGTTCTCCTGCCTTATGCAGATGATGGACAGCTGTCAGTCAAAAAGATTTCTAACCTTCTTTGAAGTTGATTTTTAGTTACAGTATTAAAAATAAACTAAGTCTTCCAGACAAACATAAATCACTGAGACCTACACAAGAATCTACTGTTAATTCATTGCAAGAAAAAACCCTTGCTGGAGGAGGTTCTTGCAGGGCAGGACTTTGTGTTAGCTGGAGGTTGGTTTGCTGCTGCATCTTGCTTAAAAACTTAATTACGTATTCAGAGAGGAGCAAAGCAGTTCCAACTGGAGCTCCTGCTCCCTATCAAAGGCACCACTAATTAGTCAGACTTGAGGCAGAACATTCTTTGGTGTTTTCTGACAACTTTGTACAAGTTCAGTTTAGGGCATAAGCTGTACTCAGTCAGTCTGGCAGGCATGCTTCACCCTTTCTGTCTTAGGCGTTGAGTGAGTAGATGGCCTGTGAATGCTACCGGTAGCTCATGTTTAACGAATTCCAATGGAATCACAACAGTTATGGAAAACTTACCCATATACCAGCTGGCAGGTGCTTGTTAAGCGTTGACCTGACCCATTGTCCAGCTTACCAGCTAAATGACTCGAAGCTGTAGTTGTGGCATTTTCTCCCTCCCGAAACACTGCTACATCCATCCCCCTGCTTCATTGCTCCTTCCCAGGTGGATTTGCTATACCTTTTGGTGAGTTCTGCAGTGGTTGCTCTGTTACAGGGACAAATGCTTCATTTCTCTCTACTGAATAATCCAGGGCTGTGTTATGTTTCACATAATGACACTCAAACCCAGACACACTTGAGTATCTTCATTCTGCCTGGAATTTCTGTATCCCTCTCACTGTAGAGTCCAGTTCCTCTAATTGTCACAAACATCATCTTGCTCAGAACACATTCTTCCTTTTTAATGGAGTTTCAGGTCAGAATGAATATTCTCTTTGGTGAAGTACAAGGCCACTTGTGATGCTTCCTGGAGGAATTCAGAAATACTCAGAGGGAGAAATAGAAGCACGAACACTTTCTTAAATCTGTCCCTTGCAAATGCAGTGGCTTGGGTTCTTCATGATAAAAAAACTTAATCATGAGGAGTGGGGACAAATTTGCTAGAAATGTCTGGATTCTAGTAGAGGATCCTTGGTGATAGTTGCATCCCAGAAAGATGATTCTCTGAGCTTTTTTTTTATTACAGGTGGGACAAAGTTGAAAGCTTGTCTCCAGTGTGTATCTCAGCTCAATACACAGGAGCAGTGGTCTGAGTAGTTGAGAGCACACAGGGAAGTGTTCCAGTGAAAACAAACAATGCTGAAATTACAGCAGGAAACTATGACTCTGAGGTCAAACTTGAGACTGCTATGAATAGCAGGGTCTAGCCATTCTGAAGCCATTAATTGGTGAGAATTGGCTGGAGAACTGGGCCTGTGTCACCAGGTAGAAGTGACTATAATTGGGCTTAAAATCAGCAGCAGTTGCCAGTTAAACTGACCTAATAAGCTGAAAGAGACTTACAAATAAACTGAGAAGTATGTGCATAACACAGTCAAAACTCCTGCCTTGGGAAGGCTCCAGACTGAGTAAACAGCAACTTGCTCCTTCCCCTCCTGCTCTCCCTTATTACTGAGTGGATCTAAAATGTGCCTCCTGCTGGTTCTGTCCCTACCCACTGCGTAAAGCTGAATAACAGAAACCAGCAATTTAACTTCTCCTTTAGAATATGCAAATTATTGTACCACCAAGATGTCCTGTGCTGCAAAGGAAATTGTTAAATGTCTGCTTTATGCTGAGCATTGCTGGAGTGAGTGGGAAGGCTTGAAGGATGACTTAATTAAGCATTTTCCTTGCTAAGTAGAGGAAGGAGAAAAGCTTTAATAAGGTTGTTGAGCTGGTTGTTGTTTTTTTTTTTCTACCTCCAGCACTCTCCTCTTCTAGCATCTCTCTGTTTTTCAGAGGAGTTCTGCAGTTCATGCTTGCAGTACTACCTGCAATACCTCTCCAGAAGATTGATGGGCTCTGGTCTCTTCTAGAAACTGTCCATGGAGAAGTGACTGCACCACCTCTGCTTAGGGATGCCATGACATGCTTGCTTCCTGGTCAGGTGTACTGGACATGGGTCCCTGGTTTGAACCACCCCTGGTGTAGTAGGGGTGGCTTTGCCCAGACCAGGACACCTAGTCTGGGCTTAGAAGTGAAAAGATGATATGAAATGGAAAGGAGGGAGACCCATGCAATATCTCAGTGCCTTACCGTGCCTGTCATCCAAGGCATTGGTGGTGAAGTGATGGTTCTCCAGCCTCACTGGAGGACTGCCTTAGAGCCCAGCCCAGGGCCATCCTCTCTAAGACTTAGCAAGTGTCTAAAGCCTAGGGTTCCCCTTTGTGTGCTCAAACATGAAGCTCCCAGGTGAGGTAGGAGTGGGTTCCTGGCTCTGTTTCTCCTCAAGCTCCTGTCTGCCTGCCTGAGGCCACTCAGCACGCTTGCCCTGGAAAGGACAGGCTGAGGCCCTGGTGAATACCCCTGTGTGGGCTTTTATTTCTCAGAGCTTTTGCCAGCAGCTGGAAGATAAAATATGCTGCTATTACAGATCAGCAGAGAGTGAAGAAGATGCTGAGCTCTTTTCATTCCCATGGCAATACTTGGTTTATCATGCAGGTAGAGTTTAAAGAAAATGGTCTATGCGTGAGGTGTGAATTTCTTTACGAAGCAAGTTTTAGTTTTGCAGAGCATTCAGAGTTACTGGCATTCAGTTACTGGCCTTCACTTCCAGCAGCAAGGAGATACATGGCTATTTTAAGGTTTTCTCTGAAGTATCATTTTTAAAGTCTCCTTTCTCCACCCCTCCTATATCAGTTGTGATAAGCTATATGAAGTGTAAATAAAAATGTTTTACCTTGATGGGTAAAAAGGCAAACTGGATAAACCTACACCTAAGTAGGTAGTGACCAAACAGATTTTGGATGGGAGCCTGCTGCAGGTGCCTGTGACTCATGCCTGGGATCAGGTTACAGCTTAGTTGTGCCCATAGCTGAGGCACAGAAGTTCTGCTTTTGGTCCTTGTGGCATTACAGCAGGTGGTAAGCAGCTCTCCCCAGTCTCTTGTCAATCCAGGCAGAACTGGCATGCCTGGTCACCAGTTCTGCTGATCTGGGGTGCTCCAGACTTTCTCTCTGAACTAGCAGTAAAAATATCTTTATCCTATCTATTTCTCTTAGTCTTAAATCTGGGGATTTTAAAACAAAACAAAGGGCCCTTTTCAATACTTTAGTGTTGTGTGCTTGTTCCTCTAGCCCAGTTTCTCAAGGGAGTATTGAATGTGAAGAACTGTAACTGTGCCTATGTGAAGAATCACATATGCTCTTGGACTTGGAGGACATTGC